CATCCATCCACCCACACACTCATCCATCCATCCATCCACACATCCATCATCCATCCATCCATCCACACATCCATCATTCATCCATCCATCCACCCATCCACCCCTCCACCCACCCGTCTATTCATCCATTCATCCTTCTTTACTGCCTTCCACTTGTCTGTCCATCTCTTCGAGTGTTGTCTAGCCCACCCTTTAATCCTGTTTATACTCTGATACCAAAAGTGGGTTTGGGTCTTTTTTGCAGCCTGTGAGAATGTGAGGAAACCTCGAGAAAAACTCATTGAATGTCTGGAAGGTGAGAAACCCGTGGGGATGTGGGGGTGGGATATGAGAGAGGGGCCTGAGAGTGGGAGGGGAGGATGGTGGGGGATGAGTTAGGGAATGTGACCCATTAGAGAAGCTTCTGGCATTGACCTTAGTTTTCGATCCTATGGTCTGGACTGTGTCTCTGCAGCCCTAACCCTTGGCTCTATGCCTGGCAATCAGTAAGATGCTTAATGTTGGAGGAACAAATGAATGAATGAATGAATGATGCAGTGATATCCCATTCTCCTTTGTCTGAGGCTCTGGTGGCCTAGTGCAGCTGCACTGCAAACCCAAAGACACATGGTTTGATTCCACCAATGGCTCTGCGGAAGTAGCATGGGCAATCTGCTCCCATGTGATTAACTGCCTCTGAAAACCTGCCAGAGGGTCAGCTATGAGTCAGTTCCAATTCGACGGCACAGAACAGCAATAAGAACTCCTCTGTGTGATCTAGACCTCTATTTACCCCAGTCTTGCCCAGTGTTTCCAGAAAACAGCTCCTATGCGGTCACACCAGTTCTCCAAAACCGAGGGCAAGTCCAGCAGACTTTGTCTATCCTGGCCTTAACCTCCTCACCTTTTGTGGTGCCAGCAGTTAACGCAAACCCCCAGCAAGCCCTTCTCTGCCATGTTGTTTCTCCTTCCTGGTCCTTGTTCACACTGTCACCTCTTCCTGGAGCTCTCTTCATCCCGTGAGAGCTCCCCACATGCTGATTCTTCATGGGCCCCCAAGAAGACCTTCTGCTGTAGAGTAGGTTCCCAATCATGGTTAGCGTCTCGTTTCCAAAGCTGAAAATTATATGGAAGGAGATGGAAGGATACCACCCTTATTTCTCTTGTGGAGCAGCTAGTGGATTTGAATTGCTGACCTTTTGGTTAGCAGCCTGATACTTTATGCACAATTTTCTTCCTCCAGAGCACTTTGAGGATACCTTTAGTATGACAATGGGACTCCTGAATAGGTTCTTAATCATTGGCCATACTTTCATTAGCTAAATAACTCATTCAACAAACACTGAGCCAAGCCCCTGCTGTATGTCAGACATTGTATTGGGTGCTGGAGATGCTAAGAGAACCAGATAGTCTTTGCCTTCAAGGATCATATAATCTCATTGGGAAAAATCCAAAACAATGCCATTTTTTAATTATTAAACTTTATTAATTTTAATGAACATTTACAGAGATTTTGGGTTTCCATTTACTTCACTCATTGTTGCACTATTTTCTCTACTCTCCCCGCCCAGTTCAGTCCTCTTTTTTCCCCCCCTTGAAAGTCTGTTTTAATTGTCCCATTGCCACAGTGCTTGTCAAAGCCAGTTCTGATTAATCTTCTTTGTTAGTGTGTCCTTTGCCATTCCCTATCACTCCTCCCTGAGAGAGACTTCACCCTGATTCATAAGGAAACAATGCCATTTCTTGAGGCAAATGCTAGAAAATGTCTGTTTAAGGGAACACAGGAACATAGGAGGAGTTTCTCATTTTCTGGCAGTGTAGAGTCAGCTCAAAGAGGAAGCAGTTTACCTGGCTCTGCGGGATGCTTTGACAAACTGTGTTCCAGGCAGAGGAAACAGCATGTGCAAAGGCCCTGAGGTCTTAGTGAATTTGGTGTGCTCTGGAGGTAGGAGCCAAAACAGCAGGGCCAGGTCTTGTTCACTTTTTCATCCTCTCAGACATGAGGAGTCACTGAATTTAAAGTAACTGTCTTATACTTTACTATGTCCTTAGTTCCTTTAAGATATGTAGCTCTTGATGGGTAAGAAGCAAACAAACAAGAAAGCCCAACTGCTGTGGAGTCAATTCAATTCCTGACAATCTTCCTTCAGGTTTCTAAGGCTATTTTTTAAATTCTTATTATTTCTTATTATGTGATTTGAGTGAAAGCTTGCAGAGCAAATTGATTTTTCATGCAACACATTTTATACATTTTGCTTTGTATCAATAATTACAATCCCCCCAATGTAATGGCATTTCTCCCACTTCCTCCTGTGATTCTTATTTCCATTAATCCTCTATCTTACCCCTTCCTGCTGTCAGGCCTTTATCCCTGAGCAAATACTGCCTTTTTTTTTACCATATATGGTTGGTTTTTCAAGAAGTGAGCGTCTCCCTGATGTCATTGGCCACCTTAGAGATCTGGTTATTGTTTGGCTGAAAGTTGAGCCATGGGGATAAGTCTTGTCCCAGGTTCCAACAACAACTGAAGATCATGGTCTTTAGGGGTTCCACCAGTGTCTGTTGGATCACTAAAACTGGCCATTTTTATGTTTCTGAGTTTGTTCCACATTTCCCTGACCAAGACCTTCTGCTGTGGGAGCTGGGCACCATCTAGTTCTTCTGGTCTCAGGGTCACAGACATTGAGGATCACTTACTTGGTCCACTGGTCCATTCCACTAACCATTTCTATTCGAAGCTGTGTCTTGATGGAAGGAGACACCCTCGTCTTTCTCCTGCATAGCCAAGGGTGGCTTTAAACTGCCAACCTTTTGTTTAGCAGCCCTGCTCTGCCACTGGAGCTCCTACCTGGTAGGTGCTCCCGGATTGTTTGGTGACTCTTGTGGAGGTGCGGATTAAATGTTAGTCAAGCGTCACAGGCCTGCAAGAGCTCGGAGCTGGTGGTCAGAAAGCTGTGCTGGGAGAGAAGGGCCATCTGGGCCATTGCCCTGCTGAAGCTCAAGGCTACAGTGCTGACTTGAGCTGTGCCCTCTGCAGGGTACTGCGCCGAGGGGATGGGCAAGAACTATCGCGGGAATGTGAACTTCACCCGCTCAGGCATCGAGTGCCAGCTCTGGAAGAGTCGCTACCCACATAATCCTGAGTGAGTGATGGGCAGGCCTGCCATCAGCCAGTGAGAACAGGAGGCAGGGGGACGCTGGGGGTGGGAGTGGGGTCCTCCAGCTGAGCCCCAAGCTAATTGTTTCCTATTCCAGAATTAACACCATCAGCCACCCTGAGGCCGACCTGAAGGAGAATTTCTGCCGTAACCCAGACAGCAGCACTACAGGGCCATGGTGCTACACCACAGACCCCACCGTGCGGAGGGAGGAGTGCATCGTCCCTTTGTGTGGTGAGCTGGGGGCAGCTAGGTAAAGCACGGCCAAGGCCAAGGACAAGGGAACTCACGGAAACTAAGAGCACGTTGGCTACCTTAACCTGAACCTACTGCTGTTGAGTCAGTCCTCGCTCACAGGATCCCTCCATCGGGTTTCCGAGGCTGTTAACCTTTGTTAAGGGAGGAGATTGTCCATCTTCCTCCCAGTAACAGCTGGTGGATTTGAGCTTCTGGGAAGAGCTAGAATATTTCATGCACAGCACCACCAGAGCTCCTTCCAGAAGGGTGGTGGTCGTGTACCAGTGAGTTGGAACAGCTGACCCTCAAGCAGGTTTTCAGAGGCAGTAAATCACACGAGAGATTGCTGTCTTTCTCTGTGGAGCAGCTGGTGCTTTCGAACTGTGTGCCTTTGTGTTGGCAACACAATTCTTTACCACTAAGCCATCTGGTCCGTGTGTGTTCATTCCGGGATTGAGGCTGAGCAGCACTGAGGACCAGGAAGTGGTGCGACAGAAGCGTAAACCAGACAGCAGAAGCGTGCAGCATCTCTGCAGGCCCAGCCCAGCCACTTCTGTCCACACTCCATTGGTTAGAGCGAGTCAGGAGCAAGGCCACAGTCAAGAGGTGGAGGATGCCTCATCTTTTTCTTACTGGTGGGTTCAAACACCCAACCCACTGCCCCACCTGGACTCCTTGAGAAGTCCATTAATTAGTAACCCTTGGCCTATCATCACACCTGTGGTGGTGGAGGCACAGGGGGCTCCGGAGCTCGGCTTTCAGCGGCAGGTCTGGGGCAGGGGTGGCCAGTGCCATGTCTGGCCACAAAGGTGGTAAGAATAAGCCCCTGAAATAGTCCAAGAAGCAGACCAAGGAAATGGACAAGGGAGATAAGGCTTTCAAGCAGAAACAAAAGAACAGAAGAAACTGGAGGAGCTAAAAGTGAAGGCCACGGGCAAAGGTCCCCGGGCCATGGGTGGAATTAAGAAATCTGGCATAGGGAGCTCTGGTGGCCTAGTGGCAAGACACTGCACTGCAATCCCAGAGGTACATGGTTCAAATCCACCAGATGCTCTGCTGGAGAAGGAGGGGGCAATCTCCTCCTGT